CGGGGCTTCAGGAAGCCAAGCTCGTGGATCAAGGACTCGCAGGTTGTCCCGAGAGGAATGCACCGATGATGTCCGCGTCGACGACTTCAGGTAAGGAGTTGCACCGCTTCGAGAACCTGTGGATGTAATCCCATAGGGACTCGTTGGGCTCCTGCTGGCAGCTCTTGAGGTCCCAGGAGTTTCTAGAGCGGATATACGTCCCCTGAAAGTTCCCGACGAAGACCCTCTTGAGGTCCACCCAGTCGCGGATGCTGTCATATGGGAGAAATTCGAGCCACGCTCAAACATGTTCCCCCACACAGATGGGGAGGTACTGAATGATGAAGTGGTCATCATCCACTCCTCCGGCTCGGCAGGTGAGCCGGTAGTCTTCGAGCCACATACCAGGATTCGTCTCCCCAGTATACTTGGCGATGTTGGTAGGCGGTCGGAAGCGCTGTGGGAACGGTGCTCTCTGGATGCGTCGGCCAAAGGCCCGTGGTCTCGGGCCATTCGGGCTAGGACTCCGGTCGTTGGGTCGGTGACCGCGCCTGGGGTGCGTCTCACCGGTCCCCTCGATGGTCCGCCAGAGCCCGCGCTGCCTGCTCTCACCGCCGCCCGGTGGACGTCATCATCATACCGGGCCTGACGCCGGTTGTTGATGACGCTGCGAGCATCTTGGTTCGGCCCGAGGCGTTCGCTCACAGGCGGCAAGTGTGGAGTGGGCGCCGGGTCGGGCTGTGGTGCAGCTGTGCCCTCCTGTTCCGCACCCGGCGGCTGTAGTGGCGACAAATGGAACGATGCATCTGGTGCGTCCCCGTCCCCTTGGTGGGGAGAGAGGTCACAAGTCGGTGTCGCGACGCGGACCTCTCCGCCTGTAGAACGGCGGCGGTCTCCACCAGCGCCCAGAGGTTCCGGTGGACCGCCTACTCTTGTGGGTCCACAGGCTCGGGAAGGCCACGTAGAAGTATCATCGCCGCAGCGATGTTCTGACCAGCCCAAGAGAACTGTGGGGGATCATTTCCCCCCGTCGTTGATGTTGCGCTGAACCTAGCGGGTGCGACGAGTTACGCGCACAGGGCGCATCGTGGTGTGCCGAGCGCGTCGGTGCAGGTGGTGGCTGGTTCTACCGCCTTTGTCGTAGCTCCTCGCCATACTCCTGGGCACATGTGAGGGCATTCGCGCGAGGGTCCGGAGGGGTGTGGGTCTGAAGAGACTCCACCACCACTAGGCGGTTGTCCCGGAGCGTCCGCCATAGCGCACTCGTGGGACAGAGGGTGGCTAGGTGCCACGACATCACCAATGCTGGAGCTGTCGCTCTCGACATCGTCATCCATGAGCTCATGAAAAGAGGCGGGAGCGTAGTCCGCCATCCCCACGAATTCAGATGTGAGAGGGGGCGGCGCCAACATCTTTTGGAGCACCCGTGCGTACACATCCGCGGGGGACGCGAGGCCATAGAGGAACCGGTCGCACGACGGTCGCGGCAGGGACAACGGGGTCCCTCTGGAGAATCGGCGGAAAATAGTAAATAGCGAGTAAATAACAGTATGTACATTACTCATAGTAGGGTTTGAACCTAGCGTAGGCTCGGAGCGAAGCGTAGGCGCCTCGTCGTTGAGGTCGCCGGGTGGCCCGGAGCCAACGGAGGGCGCCCCTCCGACGGGCGCGGAACAAGCGCCTTCATCCCAACAGGTGGGAGCGCGGGAAACTCCAGCGAGCCGAAGGGAGTCGTATCGCTTGAGCCCGCCATGCCGAAGACGATGGAAAGGTGGGCCATCCGACGACCAAAGTCGTGGACGTACGACATCTTCCCCACGGATGGCGCCAACTATCGGTGCAGAAAGTGACAACCCGTAAATATTTATAGTTTTGCCATACGTTGTGATCGGATGTGTTCTCGCACTCAATGACACATGGTTTATACTGGTTTAGGCAACGTGCCCTACGTCCAGTTTGAGTCGGGCGGTGACTTTATTCCTGAGCCCAGGTGCTCGAAGTTTGTTGCGAGGTTATAAACTAGAGGGAGTAAGATGGGGGTGCAAGAGGTCCGGTCGGACTCTAGGGCCAAAGGGCCAAGAGAGTTGGGAGCTCCTACGTGACCTAAGTATTTGAGCGTATGCTCTGTTGGAATCGTTCGAATCATAGGTTGTTCAACTCTGTGAATCGATCGTCCTGGTGGTCAAATCGTCCAATCCTCCTCCTTTTGGAGGGAGCGCATCCCCTTTTATATATGAAGGGGACGGCTTTACAAGAGAGAGTGTGAGAGAGAGAGTGTGTGTGCGCTACTAGTCTTGTTGCCCATGCCGTTGGGTACAAGGTGGTTTGTCGGCGCCTACAACACTGTTGATGTTTGATGCATGTGGTAGGTTCAATCGCCTTCTTCTGGTATGGTAGATGTCGGCGCCCACAACATTGTTCATGTTCTGACATGTCTGGAAGGTTGTGGTGCCTCCTTCTGACACGGCCTGATAGTACTGTCCAGCAGGTGTGCAGGGTATGGCCCTTGATATTGCGGTTGACTGGAGCACCCTGCCTTTCTTGCTCTGTTCGTTTCCTGGGTCTTCACCAAGTGGGCGTCCCCAGTCGGTCGTTCCCCAGTCAGCTCCGGCCTCGCGGTCGGAGAAGAGCTGTAAGCAGAGGTTCGATGTACCCCCGGTCGGAGAAGCGAGTCGGAGTCGGAGGCGAGCGTCATCCCTTCTCAGCCAGGCCTTCCGGTTGGTGAGGCGGGCCGGAGTCGGAGGCGAGCGCCGGTCCTCTTTTGGCTAAGCCTTCCAGTCGGAGAGGCGGGCCGAGTCGAAAGCGCGACTGCGGTTCCTCCTTGGCCGGGTCTTCCGGTCGGAGAGGCGGGCCAGAGTCGGAAGAGGCGGACCAAAGTCGGAAAGCGAGCGACGGTCCTCTTTTGGCCAGGCCTTCCCGTCGAAGAGGCGGGCCAGAGTCAAAAGCGAGCGCGGTTCCTCCTTGGCCGGGCCTTCCGGTCAGAGAGGCGGGCCGGAGTCGGAAGGCGAGCGTCATCCTCTCTTTGGCCAGGCCTTTCGGTCGAAGAGGCGGGGCGGAGTCGGAAGCGAGCGCCGTTCCTCCTTGGTCAGGCCTTCCGGTCGGAGACTAGATCGCCCTTCTGGCCTGTCGTTAGGTTTTTGGGCCGGTCCAGGAGTTGCGCATCATTCGCAACGTTGTCTGCTGGGCTAAACTTTTTACTGGGAAGCAGGTCCATGAGGGACCCGGGTTTATGAACCCGACACATCTAAACAAAATAACAAATCAAGAATCAAGACGAGTAGATGACGAACCTCCGTGAGACTGACTATCTGATAATCTAATTAGTGCGACTGTTCGACGCGACGCGGCATGAGGCGGCGTGTTCGATCACTTCGATGTTCCATCCTCTCACTCCGTCACCTCCGATCGAGATTAGATTAGGCCATTAGGGATAGGTTAGGGAAATTGGGAGGAAAGTCTCCCGTACTCGCGTGGGCCGTGGGATTGCGTAACTGCGTATGTACGGCGGCACCAGGTGACCAGGCCATCAGGGCGTTTCATGGTCCTTTGGTGGACTTACCGCATGGGCTGCCTCACGTGGGCCTTTCTTGGTGGAGTGATCCAGGATTCCTCCAGGTAAGTCATTTTCTTTTCTTTTTTTACAATATAGATACTTATACATTATACGATATACCTATATATAATACTATGCTTGCCGATACTGCAGGGTATGCCAGTGCATACCTGGCATACCCTGTGGCTCCGCCACTGACATCACATGCCGTGTAGAACGATGGTTAGTAGATACATACCGCGTAGGGCGTTTGACATTGTCGTGGACCTGCCTGCTTGACGGCGACAGTGCATATCGATGCAATGCAGCTTAATTGCAGATAGAGGTAGCAGATCCGTTCCGCTAACAACGTCGGGATGACGACGTCGTCGAAGTAGTCGCGGCAGGGATGTCGACGGCATGAGCGTCGGCGTCGAAGGTCGGCGGCGGCTTCAACGGCGATGTCGACGAAGAGCTTGTCGTGCTGATAACGTGTTATAAAATATGTTGCCAGCGGTTATGGCATTTCCTTCTCCGTCTCGCATGATCAACACAGTAGATAAAAGTAGAGAACAAATAGACAAAATATAGGGATACTATTATTTATTCCTCCGAATATTGATAATTACAGCATAGAGCTCCCACGTATATATAGCTCTGTCAAAGTCTAAGAGTTTAATAAGAACCCACATACAAACGGACTAGAATTAAAATTTCTCCTTCTACTTTTCTCGTAAGATAGAGTCCATACATTTTGCAACGACTAAGACGTCTTCTTGTCTTGCCGCGTAGTCTTCTTGTCTTGCCGTATCTCTGCGCATATATACAGAGAATAAGATAAAATAACTGTGCGGTATGTATTTATGATTTATCGGTAGAATAATCCTTTCCGGAATCGAAATATACTATAACCGACTTGGAACCAGCTCGGACCGTACGAGTTAAGCCGATTGCTTGGGCGAAAACCTCGGCGTTCTGCGCTGCAGATTCACGAACCCACCCTGAATCTGAGCTATGCGTAAAATCCTCCTCTATTCTCTGTTTAAACGTAGTCGGAAGTGTGCTAGACGATTCGGTTTGCACTCTCCAACTCGCATTGCGACTGTTAATCGTTTGAAAGCAATTGGATGATAAGCCAACGAGCTACAAGGCAGTTCACAATACATCAAGATTCATCATAGATTTAATAACAATTCCCTACACTGGTATAGATATTTTTAAAACACCGAACAGATCGTACTTCTGAAAGGCGTCTTGGACAGATAAAAAGGCCCGATACTCACATCTCAGGATAAGAAATGCATTATTAAATATAATCCTAAACCTCCGGATAAAAGATCAGATTTCTTCAATACACATTTAATTCCAAACATCAAGACTGCAAGCAGTCATCCATGATCCAACTTCCTCTAGTTCCTAATGTAAAATAAGGATATCACAGAAAGTCTTCTTAGAACACAGGGTACTATCAATGAGCTTGATCGTGAACCTAATTCATTCTTTCGATTAGCTCATTGATGTAGTTCTCACGGTTACCGGCATCACCACCGTCCACATAGTGGTTCCTCTTCTTCTCCAGGCCACCCAAAGGCGCCTTTAGCTTGAATGGCCACAGGAAGTTGTTCGCCTCCTTGAAGTGTGGGCCGACAGTCATGATCTCGTGAACAAGATCCTCAACGCAGATGATGTTGTGCTTGCTCAAGCCCTGACAGAACACCAAAAGGTGGACATCGTCATGTAAATTGTCAAATACAAACAGATCACAGGAACCAGGTGCAGAGTTCCATGATTACAAACCTCCTCGATGACTTGGTTGTTGGAGAGAGGGATCCTCTGCTTGTTCAGCTTTCCATAGACCCTCTTGTAGATCAACTCCCTGACACTCTTCAAGTTCGGGTAACTAAACAAGATTTACCACTTTAGTAAGGTCAACACTCAACAGAAACTGAGGGGTCACCAAACTAAGATGAAGGAACTACTCCAGTCAGTCTGCTTCAAGTTTTTCTCTCTCCAAATTTTATCTATTGTAGTATTGTTTAATGGAAACTAATTGAATATAGATGCATCACTGTGCATCTTCTCTTTATCAAAAGCAACTCTGATAAAAGAACAGAATGTAGAATTTCACAGCCTTGATTGCGCTTGATCTAAAGTCCATAAAAATTCACTGAAAGATATATCAAAATAAGCAGCAAGACAAGAATTAAATCAGTAAAGAAAATATACCCATATGCAACATATGGCTCAACCCTGCGAAGCATGTTAATAGTAGCCTTGTTGACCTTCAGGAACACACCGTTGAAGATCTGAAAAAAATAAATGTTCAGTTTCACCAACGAACAAACAGACTAAATTCAAATAGCAGAAATGCAATTGTAACAACAAATTTTGGTGAACCCACCTGCCTCAAACACAGAAGCTGCAAGATCTAAATTCAAATAGCAGAAATGCAATTGTAACAACAAATTTTGGTGAACCCACCTGCCTAACGCAGAAGCTGCAAGATCTTCCTGGTCTTAGGGTGCATGGCATTGATACTGTAGTTTCAAAATCAACAGAATTAAAAACAAACAAGAGCATACAAATTCCTCCATATAATACGGCCATAAGAGTTTGTGTCTCACCCACGGATGCGGACCACAAAAAGCAGCTTTGCCTCAGGACTGACATAAAAACCACCCTTCAAACGGGCCTCACGCTTAAGCTGCACCAGTTCCTTCTCCTGCTCGCCAAGTATCCACATAATAAGCAAACAAATAACACATCTCAGTTCTCTATTTCATCTAGAAAGCATCTTAATAATGGCAATGATCCTAAATTTTGTACTATACGAATCCTGCACCATGAAACGGGCCAGCGGATCATGCCACGTCGCCCGTTAACCGTTGGATCAAGCCAACTCGCGATATCAGTCGTTTGATGCGGATCGGTTCAGGTCTCCGCCTGTTCCATTTCAAACCCGAAATCTCTCAAACTCTCTGTCTCTCAGCTCGTTGTCCAGTGCTGCAGGCGTGGCACACCGGCAAGGCGAATCCCATGTTTCAAAGTTCAATCCATTAGCTTTTGAAGCCAATTTCTATTGTCAAATATAGGATGCACAGCGCTTATTATACATATGCGTTTTCATTCAATGATATGGAGTAAATGCACGTATGTACAGAGGCGTCTTCACTTACAAATGCATTCAGAGACAGTTGGTTTGAGATGGCTACTATAGTTGGCTGCCCCCCCCCCCCCCTCAATGAAGGGACAGTGCCATGTTTCATTTTATTGTTTTTGTTAAGACAAGTGATTCAATAAAGCACGAGATATTCAATTAACAGCTTCCTATGTATAGTACCCCATTTTGAGATCTCCGTTTACAAAAGATATAATTTCCCTTCATGTATCAATATCAGTAACTTTCTTAAATTAGCCTAACTTTTACAAGAACAGATAGGTCAGTTTATGTTGGACATTGGTCAAGTAGCCATATAAGCATGTTACAGATTTGTAGTTGAGGCCTTGCATAAGATCGAATTTGTGACCAGTGTTTCAGGCAGCAGACAACCAAAAAAATCATGTTACCAATAGAAAGTTTTGAAAAATTATGTCATTGCATATATAGGTGGGCCCTGGCTTGCACAACAGAAGATCCTTTATTGTAGAGAAGGCAGATATTGCACAAGGAGCACTGCAGTAGTATATGAAGTTTAACCCCCTAGGATTGCTGGGATGGAACCTCGAAGCTAATTTGTGGGAACTTTGAAATGAGCCCTGGAAAGAGTGTAGATGCTTGGACAGGTGTATGAAAAGATTAAGCAATTCAATTTTTGAGCATTTTGGTCAACAGGCTGAACTTCTGTTATCCTATAGTAATAAAGAACATCACATTACCACATAGCTGAAAAATGGAATGCCTAAATAAGCCTACTAAATGGCATCTGAACCAGGACAGAGGCGAATCTGAACCAGGATAGAGGCAACAATTAAAATCTCTATAATAATAATTGTTATCTACAGTGATTTAACATGAGGAGTGCAACAAGCCTTAAAATCTCTATAATAATAATTGTGTGATATCTACATTTTAGTGATTTAAGATGCTGAGTGCTTACTAGAGACTATTAAGCTACCTTTTTAATTTTCATTTGCCTGTTCTCTGTAGAGCTGGCTCGGCTCGCTTGGGCTCAGCTTGCTTATCGTTAAGATAACGAGCTTTGAAGAAGAAAGCATACTGTGTGATACTGCTATATAAAATTTTATAATATTTGATTTATCTAAAGTTTGAGAATAGAATAATACAAAAGAAGATTGGAAGATAGCCCAATTTATAGGACTAGACCAGTTACCAATCAATTGTAAAGTGTAAGACATGAAGTAATAGAAAAACTAATACAAGTTTTGATACTTTTTTTCCTAAAGCTTGGCTCGTTTAGCTCAGTACTACCTTGGTTTAATTTTCATTTGCTATGTTCAGATCAGAGCTATCCCTGTTTGTATGTATGTACATGTAGCATGAATCAATCAAGGGCTGCAATAATATAATATTTCGAGGTGTTCAGTTGGAATTATAAAGCAAATTAGCTCATTAGCTACCTTACAAAAAAAAAATTAGTTGTAACAAGTACTAGTAATTAGTAGTAACTATACTTTTCACTTTCCCCAACTAAAAGAGTTGTTTGCTTACAGTACTATTAGCAAGAATGTAGATCCCAATATATATTGATCTGCTTGCTATTATGACTGCCCTTCTCAAATGTAATTAACCACATCCATATAACAATTCTCTTATGTCCATTCCATAGCCGTCATAAACTTAAAATGCATTGAGACAACCCCTTTCACTACATAGAAGTAAATTTTATTGGTTGCCTATCAATCTCAACTTCCGATATGACCATAGAAGCTGCAAAAGAGGTTGTACCCCAAACCCAAGACAACGATTTTGGCCATATTTTAGTATTTAAAGCTAGGCAAGTATTATCAAGGTAAGCAAAGCCAAGCATGCTACTCAGCTACCACCGCAATTTTTTTTAAAAAAAGTTGACCATAATGCTTCACTAAAATCAATAACACTATTTCATCGCACTTCTTGCTTTATTAGACTGAACTAGCAAAATCTACCGAGGCAATACTGTGGAAAATATTAACCACTATTAACATTATGAGCAGTACCACTCTCATTCCAATCCTTCAACAAGCAAACACCAAATTCTACACTGACACACTGGCCCGATCCAGTGTAGGCATGTCAACGCTGCGCCACCATTTCTAGTGCTATACTAAACCAGAACCATCAACTGATAAAATCATCGCATGGCTTTTATATTACTTACAGTGGCACACAATGCACAACAATATTCTAGATTGCTTACAGTTGAGACAATTGTACTGGTCCATAGAATAGATTCTAAATACTGGACCATAGAATAGATTCTAAATTGTTTGGGGTTGATTATCTCGAACAAAAGCACTAATCGCACGCGTTCCGAATGCACTAAGCAATATAGTTGTACAGTAAGCAGAGCAGCTAACCGGTCCTACTATTGCTGCTAACACATTTCTTACTACAAACATTGAGAGCAAACGATTATATTCCGTAATCACATTCGCATAACTCGCTCCGAATCAACATAAGGTCATGGGCAAACCCAATCGAACCCAGATTAAACAAGCCATTAGGATTACAGTAACATGCAGCACGCAAAGCCCTACAACCTATCCGGCACGAATAGTCTACATACAGATTAGATCGAGCGGGAGCGGCAATCTGACCTGGGCATCGTACTCCTCGGCGTACTGCTTTGCGCGGGTGAAGATGAGCTTGCGCCTCTCGATGGACTTCTTCTTCTCGGCCAGGGCCTTCTCCTTCTTCTCGGCGGCCCATTGCTCCTCGCGCTTCTGCTTGCGGAGCACCGACTCCGGCACCGCCACCTTCGCCGCCTCGGACGACATCTGCACGGCCACACGGCGCGGTCGCTTTACTTTACCTGGACGAGCTGCGTAGGAGAGGGTAGGAGGGGTTTGGTTGCTAGGGTTTCTGGAGGTGATCCGACGGTCTGGAATGGTTGGGGGCCCGCGGCGTGTGATGCTGGGCTGGTAGGGACCGCATCTGCGTGTGGGTGCGGCGCCGGCGTGGCTTGCTCCATCTCGTCCTCGGGCACTGCGGTATCTGCCCCCAAGCCGGTCGTAGCCCCTGCTTCAGGCCCATCCGCGCCGACCGTGGGCTCTTCAGAGCTCAGATCCGCGCGATGACGACCGGCAACCGGCCGGCGCCCGGCGGTGATATGGTGGGCTCTCTGCCCTATGCGGCTGCCGTGCCGCCTACTGGTGCCGGCTGTGCCCCAATGCCGGCCAAATTTAACCCTAGGCGGCGGCGCGACGCAGGTGGGGAACAGGATGTTTTTGGTCGATTGGGAAAGGTACGCCGCGGGTCTGATTGGTTTGATTGCAAAAAATTTATTCAGCAAGTCATGATTTTCTCTAGCATTTGGTTTGTTATCAAAATTTATCAAAGTCTTATTTTTAATTTATCAAATCTATAGTAATGTTTTTTACGTAACTTTTAACTTGTTAAATCTTTAACATGACAAATTTGAGATGTCAACTAAACCATACCCGCTGGAGCTAACATCACGAACGGGCGGAGGCCGGAGGCCATCGATCTCTCCTGGTTCCCTCCGTGAATTTTCTTCATGGGCTAGCAGGCCAGCCCAGGGGCAGCTAGACGGTGGATGGGAGGAGGCAAGAAACATGGCATTTTAATTCTTACTAGCAAATATGCCTGTGTGATACATACGTGTTTACGAAAAATATTTTAAATACAATGGTAATATTAATTAAATTCTCGATATATTAGTTCATATATATCATGGACATTTTTTAAATATTGAAATAGAATATCTTTATAGATGGATTCAAACTCAATGACAGGGCCACACATATACTCCTAGGGAGCAACTATCGAGTCCAAACATGCTACACATTAGTATTTTTGACATCGAGTTTAAACATGTTTCACAATAATATTTTTGGCTCGTATAAATACGTTTTGCATTAGTATCTTGGCTCGTATGGGCGTCGGAGTCCTCAAACATGATAATTTGGCTCATATGGGCGTTGGAGTCTTACATCTCACTTGTGTTTAGATTTTTATTATTTTTCTTTTTCAGGGTCTAGAAGGTATCTTGGTTGAGGGGGAGTCTTACACCTTACATGTAATATCATGGATGACGGAGGGTTCATATAGCACGACGTTTAGATCGAACGGTTATTATAGAGGAAGAACCCCCTCAAAAAATTCGCTCTTTTTATAGTGTGATGATGATGATGATGATCAGGCTGTTCGGTTGGCTGGTTCGTATCGTTGCTGGTTTGTTTATGTGAGAGAGAAGTACTACTGGCTGGTTCATATGAACAGTGTCCATGTGAGGGGGCTAGCCAGCCAGTCCCAGCCGAACACGCCGGATAATGTGATGACTTTATAATAGAGGGAGAACCCCTCAAAAAATAATCGCTTTTTATTGTGTGATGATGTGATGTTTTAAAAAAACTCTTACTTGATCAAATATACAGAGTTTGATTTTCCTCAAAAAATATATAGAGAGCTTGATCTACATGTATAACTACATGTACATGCATAGTACCTGTAATTTTTTTTCTCCAAATTATTATGTACACCCATGTCCACATACTGTGTCCGCCCCTGCCTGCAGACTGTCCTCAACAACCGTGACCCAAAATATAAGATTTATTTGTCCTTTGGGTAACGCTACAGGCAAAGGGTTTAATATATATTTTTGGTCTTCTACAACAACAAGACCTAAAAGATAATCATTTCTGTAAATGGGTCTTCAGGAAACATGAATACTTAGATTTAGGTTATGCCATTAGGTATTATGTTGAAGACCATAAATATTATGTTGAAGACTTATTTTGAGTTTGGGTTCTCCGGGGTAGCTGGCCTTCAAAGGTTCTGTTGTCCTGCACACAGCGAAATCAGACGATTCCAATTCTCGTCCCACCATTTAAGGCCTGTTTTGAATGGAGGATGGTAAAACTGAGGACCTTAACGAAAACAGAGGAAAGGAATACGAATGAGACCGCAAAACAGAGGAGAAAACGTAGGAAGACGATGAAAAGTGGTGTTAGAGTGATAAACTAATATTAGCATCTCTAATAATAGTGGATCAACTTAATTGTGTTTTATAATTACTTGGCATTTAATAATTTGTTACTCTTACGTATGGGCCTCGGACCCTGTGTGCAACTCTGTCGCCAGCCATTGACTGCACACACGCAGCACGTTAATTCTACTAGCTAAAAGCATGGTTAGCAGAGGAGAGAGACCGTGAATGGCCGTAGGAAAGTTTCATGAGCTCAGAGCTCATTTTCTGATTCTTGCAAAAGTACATATACCATTGCCATTCGCCTATTCCTCTAGAAAGTATTTTGCTGCTTGCCTTGTTCCAAACGACGAGAAAGGAAATGATTCCTCTAGAATGAGTCTCCTGTGAGCTCTTGTTTAGTTATCACCCTAAAATTTTACACCCTGTCATATGGAATGTTTGAACACATACATGGAGTATTAAATATAGACTAAAAAATAATTAATTACACAGTTTGTGACTAATTTGCGAGACGAATCTTGTAAGCCTAATTAGTCCATAATTTGACAATAAAGTGCTACAGTAACACATGTGCTAATGATAGATTAACTAGACTTAATAAATTCGTCTCACGGTTTACTAACGGATTCTGTAATTTGTTTTTTTATTAGTATTCGAACACCTCGTACGACACCCTCTTGTAACATCCGATATGACATCAAAAAACTTTACACGCTGAATCTAAACAAGGCCTAAGTTTCCTAAGTTCTTCCTTCGGTCCAAACAAAGCCTACATTGTTTTGAAAGCACTTTTCACTAACATGACGCTAAATTATTGTCCTACGTGACACCACATCAGCAATGTAGGAGTTGAATTGGACTTCTACGATAATTGAGGGAGATCAATTAGACTCATAAAAAATATCCAAAAAATCTATAATAAATCTTATTTAGCATTGGAAATTTCATAGAAAATTTGTTTTAGCTTCTAACATAGAAAAATAAAAAACCAGTTTTATATTTTTTTCCAAAATAATGATCTACTCTTTTTTTTCCGGTCTTAGAATAGAATTCACTGCGTTCGGTTGGTATAGTTCTGGCTTGTTTCAGCTTATTCTCTCTCACAGAATAATATTCAATCATCCAAAACAAGCCAAAATCTACTGTTCAATGCACCGTCCGAGCGAGCTGATTATCTGAATCTCATGTACTCCGTAGCCTCCTACAATTTGAAACTGGGCCAAATATAAAACGTAAGGTGCACACCAAGGCAAATCGAAACTGGGCCAAATATAAAACGTAAGGTGACAAATGCTTGTAGACCGCAGGGTGAATCACTGCGCAACAAAGGAGGAGCTCCACGGCGGTCTCGGTGGGCTTGCCGACGCTCCTTGACCTAGGTTCGTCACTTTGTCTCTACTGTTCAATGCCCCGTTCGAACTCTAACCCGAGATCCCCCTCCGTGCCCTCTCCCCAGCTTCCTCTCATCCTCTAAGGATCCCATCCCCTCCGTCGCTGCGGATCCCTTCCCTGAAGCCTCTTTTCTTCCCCACTGAAGTCGGATGACAACCTGAGCTCGATGTGCAAGGAGGTTGGGGTCGACATCTTCGCCTACCCGTCAACGCTGACGCCATAGCCAACAACGATGAGGTCACCCGTGTCCGCGCGTCGTGGAGGCCACTCTAGAGGATAAGATCGCCTCCACCCTCGCTGACATGGTCATCGACTTCAACGATCCCGCAGTCCTCCTTGCTGCCGAACAGTGCTCCTGTAAGAAGCTGATTTCCCTGTTCAACTATGCCGTGAAGAAAAATCTCACAGGCATGAGCATCTCGAATCTTGAGATCTTCGCGAGTAAGGTGGCTGATTGTGATGAGATTGACAATACAGACACATACTTCTTTGGGATTCGATTAAGGAAATTGTCTCTGTGCCAGGATCAGTGAGTACATTGTTGTTGAATGAAATGATCACCATATTTTGGAAGCTTGAAGAAGTCGAAGGCAGCTTATATCACACAAGTAGGATCTATTTATCCTTAATATAAGCTGAAATTGTGCTTTGGTCTTTGTATACTACAGAAGAAGAGGCATTTCCATTATCTTCAATTAAGGATATTGGTAGTTCAACTAATGATGGGAAAATAGTAGTTCAAGGAGAAATGTTACGGACTTTACACTTTAGGATTAGTTATTATGCATCACCGGAACCAAAAATTCAGATAATATTTTGAAAAATATGGTTACTCTTTCAGTATCTGAATACTATTGTAGTGGCTTTCACTCTTTCAGTATCTGAGTATCACCAGCAATTGCTTGAAGTAATACAATTTTAATTTCCTCAAATGGACTCTTATTTGATGCAGTAGAATATTCTTAGACTTAAGCTATCAACCAATCATGTCCTGAAAGGTTAAGCTCTAAAGTTTCTTAGAATTAATGAGAGCAGAAAACTTGAGACTTTAACTACTGGGCCATCTCTACTTTGCAGCAGAATTTTGAGTGTTTGTTGATCCTCACAGACTCAGTGTGCCATACATCTTTGCAGTGTTAGATTGAGCTGTTTCCTCAAGATCTTATAAAATAAGGTTGGTGTCTTCACCAAGGTGCTGGAAGCACTCTGCAGCTACAATGCACAGGTCACCAGCCTGAACACGATAACGTTCTATGGCTATGACGAGAGCGTCTTTACCTTTTTTTGTCGTCACTCGAGCTAGAGGACTTAAAGAACAAAGATTTAAATTGTTTTCTTGACTTTTTAAAAGAATGTGTTCTGACAAGAGCTTGCTGAATTCATGTGTACTTTTTATGCTTATTAAGTAACCCATGTTTTTAGAGAAAGATATATTCATGCACACATCTCCAAAGTCCAAACTCCAAAGTGCAAAGCACACTGGCCTTACAGAGAAGATGAACTAGAGTCCCCGCAAAGTAGGAACCATCTTCTTTGTTATCGCAAAATTGAATTTGTTCTCTTTCTTTTTACTCATGGGTCACATACAGCTCGAATGTACTGCTAACCATTTTCCTTTGCTTTTATAGTTTAGCATGAATTCATTGTATATGTGATAATCTTTAGTTACTTATTTCTTGCCTCTGTGTTCCATTGAGTTAATATTTTTTATTTAATTGTAAGCTGCTTGCTTGTTCCCAATTTTATTAACTTAAATCTTTTCTGTGTAATTGCTTATTTCAAACAATCTCTCAAATACATGCTTAAATCATATGCGCGCTCTGATAGGATGAACATCTTGTTAATACTCTGAAACCTCTCTTGATTTGAGCAATATATTCTACAGATCTTTCCACCTCCAGCAGCCTCATTTTCCAGACAGAAGAAACTATCAACACATTAAATATGCATTGGCATTCCCTGAATATGGGCACTTCATCAAGCTGACATTCAGTCTGTACTAGGCACCCTGGGACAATGTCTCAATGTTTTGGAGCTAAGAGTCCACCCCCCTTCAGAGCTAATATACTCAATGTTCAGGAGTTCAGAGTTTTCCCCTCTCTTTGAGAAGATTAGAAATTCAGAGCTGAGTTCAGAGTTTTCCTCTCTTTGAGAAAATTAGAAATTCAGAGCTAATGTAGCATGTGTGTTGCTATCATTGAAGTTACTATCTTGGCGAATATTATTCTTTTGGCTTTGATCTACAAAATATAGGAAGCCATTTGAATTGATTATATTTCCAAGTCTTAATTATGCTTGTTGGTTTATAGGAAATTATAAAGATACACATAACTGTCTGTGACACTGGTGCTGTAGCTGCCACCCAGTAGCAGCTGTGCAAAGAGGAACAGCAGGATGAAGAAGGCAATGGGGTTTCAGTTTTCAAACTGGCAAGTCACAGTGGCAGCAGCTGTGCAAAGAGGAACATCAGGATGAAGAAGGCAATGGGGTTCACAGCAATATAGGTGACAACGGGGACACTCTTCATGTTGCCCATTGCCTTCTTTCTTGGGTGAGTGGTTGTGGATTGTAGATTTCAATTTGATTTTTAACCCATGGATGGAAGATGGTATGTTTGTGGCACAGTACATTAATTATTTTTTAGTTACGACGAAAAATTAGCACCAAAGAGGACCTAGAAGCAAACATAATTGTTCATGCGTCATGGTCGCTTTTACCCGGTTAATAAATAAATTGGTGCTCATGTCTCTTTGTGGCTCAAAACATGTTAGGATTAGATAGATTGTAGTGTCGAATGATCTAAAAAAAATTCATGCTCCTCTAATTGGTTTGGAAATTTTATAGAAGAGATAGTTGTGGAAAACTTATCGGTCATTGCACTTGTTGCCACTGTTGTCAATGTGGCTTAGAATAGTATGTTGATGAGCCGAGTTAAAATTTATTTCTCAGTTGATTTTGATCTACTATTTTATTCACACTTTTGTTTGCTTTGAAAATTTTGAGGCTCCTAATCCATTATTTTTTCCTCAATTGAATTGCGTTCAAAATTTTAATGCTCCCGTAGCAACGCAAGTATAGAAAAAAAGAGTAAAATGCACCCTGGGTCCTCAAACTTTTGGCCCCTTCCCATCTACGTCCTCAAACTTTCAAAGCAACTATCCAGGTCCTTCATCTTTTGCTGTGGCGTATGGAAGGTCCAAAGTCAGCCACGCCAGCACGCTAATCCGACGTGGCCATGCCACCGTGGCTGATTGAAGCTGAGTCCGTGCCAATTTAGCAAACCCCCCCCCCTCCCCTCGCTCACTTTGTTCTTTACTCCCAACTCCAGCCATTGTCTTCCCCATTTGTTCTGCGTGTTAGGGTTCTTGGCTCGTCGCCGGCCGCGCGCCACCCACCGCTCACTTCCTCCGGTTCGCGACACGCATTCTGCAATGACGTTCGGTGGCTCGTCGTCGGCGCAGGGGATTGTGGCCCCCAAATTCGGGAAGCGCATGGGACTGCCGCTTGTGCCCTGCCCCAAATGTGGTGAGGAGATCATGGAGCTCACTTGTGGTCCAGGATCTAAGGTCCCGAGAGCCATCTTCTTCAAGTGCCGGCTTCATGAGAGATGTAAGCCCTAAGGTTCAACCCTCCCTTTAACAGTAGCTTTCTCCTCATTTTGATTTGGTTGAACCCTCCTATATCAATTGCAGGTGCCTGGAACTTGCCCATAGTATCTATTGCCGACAAGTACGAGAAAATGCTGATTGCCAAGGGATATATTGAGAAGACTGGGCTGCTGTGGCCATCATTAGGCCTGAGGAATCCTTGCTTGAAGTTGAGCAGATCAGGATTGCAATTGGACGCCTTGAGGGACTAGTTGAAGCAAACAAGACTGAATTGGCACCTTTGCTTGATGATGTTGTGTCTTCAAAGAATGGAGCTGATAGAGTAGATGAGAAGCTACAGAAGTTGATAGACAGAAAAAATAGCAGCAGTGTGCCTTGTAGTTGTTGCTGTGTTTGTTGTTATGGGTGTAGTAATCATGTTAGTCAAGTAAAAGTGTCACCTTATCAATCATGTTAATCATGTGTTGAAGTGTTATGTAAAACCTGTGTTTCATCTGCAGTGAAGAGTAATGTTCAGTCAATTTGAGTTCTGTTGCAATTTCTATGAATGCAAGGTTGTTTTACTTTCTGTTTTTGCAAGATAATGATGTAAATGCAATTCCCTCATTCAATTGACACAAGCTGATTGAATGACAGATGAAAATACCATTAACTGAAACATACCAGATGAACATAACATTAATTGGAACAACTGCAATCAACTAACATAGTTTAGGCCATTCCTTCTATGACCATGAAACTGCAACTAGACTATTTGCATATGACCTATTTGGTCCACTATGATCACTGCACAAAAGGCAGCCATTGCTGCTTGACAAAAGGCAGCCTTGCTGCTGGATAAAAGAAAACTATAGCTGCTTCACAAAAGCCAACTATTTGTCATGTACAAAAGTATGACAGTACACTGTCTTCACTTCTCTACAGTTGTCCCTTTCTTGGACTTGGCTGTCTTCTTGGACTTGGTTCCCTTCTTCTTCTTCTCTCTGTAGTTACCCTGCTAGCCCTCACAATCTTGGATGCTGTTGTAAGTGGCATGTGTCTTGCTGGTGGGAGGTTGGAGCTGATGTAGGCAGAATCTGGACTAGGTAGTCTCACTACAGTTTGCCAAACAGTTTGGGCAGCTAAAAGGTCCTAATGGCTAGAGGGGGGGGGGTTGAATAGCCTATAAAATTTTTTACAACAACACTTAAGCCAATAGGTTAGTCAATTAAACGACGAAGCAAGTGTTGCGCTAGCCTACTAAAAATACAAGCCTCCTATCCACAATTCTAGTTGCTAAGATCTCTATTTCACACACAAGAGGCTATGTCACTACCACTAAATTAGTGAGCTCTCAAAGATTAACGAAAGAGCCTCACTAACCACTAGACAAGACACAAGTCAGCTCTCAAAACTAATTATACTAAAGAGCTTAGCTACACTAGGAAAGTAAGTACAAGAGTGAGGTAGCGAAGATATACAGACGTGGCAAGCGACAATCAATCAATCACAATGAATACCAATGAAATCCTCGGAGACAATGATGACAAGATTTTTCACCGAGGTTCACTTGCTTACCAGCAAACTAGTCCCCGTTGTGGCGATTCACTCACTTGGAGGTTCATGCGCTAATAGGCATCACACGCCTAACCCGTAATTGGGTGCCGCACAACCAACACAAGATGAGGATCACACAAGCCACGAGCAATCAACTAGAGTACCTTTTGGCTCTCCACCGGGGAAAGGTCAAGAACCCCTTATAATCACCACGATCAGAGCCAGAGATAAGCACATTCCTTCGCTCGACGATCCTTGCTGCACCAAGCCATCTAGGTGGCGATAACCACCAAAAGAAACAAGCAAATCCCGCAACGAAACACAATCACCAGGTGCCTCTAGATGCAATCACTCAATGCAATGCACTTGGATGCTCTCAATTCTCACCAAATGATGAATCAATCAAGTAGGGTGAGTGAGAGAGAGATGGCTATGCTCACTAGGATGTATTCTCAATAGAAATGGCCAAGAGAGTGAGCAAGAGCCGGCCACATGACTTAAATAGGGAGCCCCTTTGAAAAGAGCCGTTGGCCCCCTACTGCCTGCCTCCACGAGGCGACCGGACGCTCCACACCCTGCGTCCGGTCACTGGATGCGCGCCACACGTCCCCCGTGTTCAACGAGCGCCGCAGATCTCCAATGGTCAAATTCGCCTGCGCCAGCGCCTAAGTGACGATCGGATGCACAACAGACAGGACCGGACACGCAGGTGCCAGTCTTGCCGCGCGCGCGCCCGTGCCACCATGCACTGACCATACGCACTGCTGCCACCACCTGACCCTGCATCACTCCATGTCAGATCACTTCCAGAGAGGTTCTAGAGCCGGATTTTCTCGACGAGACGCATCAGGTCACGCATGATCGGACGTGCCGATGAGTCCGATCTTCTCTGCTCCGCGTAGATGCTCACGTCAGCGTACGTCAGCCCTGACCGGACGTAGGCCCTGTGCGTCCAGTCACAAATACGGTTCATCGTTTGATCATGAAGACCAAGCCACGCCCCTCTATGCTGCTGACCAGACGCACCCAGTGCCGAGTCCGGTCACAGCATGGCCAGAGTTCGATCAGTGAAAAACAGCACCTCCACTTCACCAACTTCTCCACCCTTGCTCAAATGTGCTAACCACCAAGGGTATCACCTTGTGCATGTGTGTTAGCATATTTTCACAAACATTTTCAAGGATGTTAGCACTCACTAGAATCTAAATGCATATGCAATGAGTTAGAACATCTAATGACACTTTGATAACTACATTTCGATACGAGTTTCATCCCTCTTGATAGTACAACTATCTATCCTAAATGTGATCACACCCAATAGGTGTCTTGATCACCAAAATAAAATGGCCCTATCAAATTCACCTTTGTCTTGAGCCCATTTTGTTTTTCTCTTTCTTCTTTTCTAAGTTCGAGCACTTGATCATCACCATGCCATCACCATCATCATGATCATCTCCATTTGCTCCACCACTTGGAATGTGCTTCCCTATTCTCATGATCACTAGAGCAAGTAGGTTAGCACATAGGGTTTCATCAATTCACCAAAACCAAACTAGAGCTTTCAATCTCTCCCTTTTTGGTAATTGATGACAACCCTTTCACAAAGATATGAATTGAAATTCAATTGAATCCATGTTGCTTGCCCAAGCATATTTACCATGTGTAAAAGGATATGGACAAGTTTCATGAACCCGAATTGGTAACATTAGCTCCCCCTACATATGTGCTAAGAGTTTGGATTGAAGCTTGCACATATACATAGATTGGAAATGTGGGAGGGCAATGTCTACTAAATGATGCTAAGGTGTAAGAGATGGACATTTGAAGCGTGATACCAATCGGAGTGCACTAAATATACCATCCTTAGCACCACTGCTAGTTAGATACCATTTGGAATTTCTAGCAAAACACAAACACTAGATACCTCATGAGATCACATTATATGCAAGGCTCTAGTACCACTTGAAAAACAAAACGAAGGCATATCTAACTATCATATGCATGCTAGTTTCTCATTTCATCATTCAAACCTACAACTAGCATACACCACACAAGCATACATATGAAATGCACATTCAAATACAACATACAAGTTTATGAGCTTGTTCCCCCTACTTGTGTGCTCAAATTTTAATTTGATCCCTTTACTTTCATGTTTCTCCCCTTTTGTTATCTTTTCACTCTTTGTTTCTCTCCCCCTATCTTTATGAATTACTTCCCCCCCTTTGTCATCAATGACCACAAATGTTCAAATTTAGCTAGGTTAAGATTATCAATGTCAACTAATGGGGTGAGGATCATTTTTCCAAATTTGGTTCAATTTAGAACACTTGCCAAAGATATTTAACTTGGTTTGATCCAAGGACAAGCTTCTTCACACCTCATTTTAAGGGTTATGAAAGCTCTAGTTTGGTTTTGGTGAATTGATGAAACCCTATGTGCTAACCTAGTTTATCTAAGTGATCAACGAGATAGGTAGCACATTCAAAGTGGTGAAGCAATGGTGAAGATCATGATGATGGTGTGGTGACCATAATGATCAAGTGCTTGGACTTGGAAAAGATGAAAGAGAAAAACAAAAAGCTCAAGGCAAAGGTAAATTTCCATAGGAGCTTTTTGGTTTGGTGATCAAGACACTTAGCGAGTGTGATCACATTTAGGATTAATAGTCGTACTATTAAGAGGGGCGAAACTCGTATCGAAATACGGTTATCAAAGTGCCACTAGATGCTCTAACTCATTGCATATCCATTTAGGATCTAGTGGAGAACTAACACCCTTGAAAATGGTTGTGAAAATATGCTAACACACGTGCACAAGGTGATACACTTAGTGGTTGGCACATTTGAGCAAGGGTGGAGAAGTTGGTGAAGTGAAGGAGGTGACCGGACGCTGCTCCCGGTGTGACTAGACGTAGGCCTGTGAGTCCGGTCAGTGTTGGGCTGAGGAGGCACTGTCAGTCTCTGATCGAATGCTGGCACAAGTGGTCACCTGACGTGACGCTTGTGCGTCCGGTCAACGATGATGTACAATGACGTAAGCGGCTGGGTGAGAGCGGTGGAGACCTGATGCGGTGGCGTGTTCGGTCACGTGCACCTGACACGTCCGGTCTTGGTTTTGGTGCTCGGGAAGCTCTCTGGAGTCAACCTGACGCGCAGAGGCGGTTCTGATCGGCGCGTCCGGTCGTTCTTTGGTGGCACACAGGCGTGTGTTGATCTGACGCTGTGGCGGTGCGTCCGGTCGCCCTTCTAGTGCGTCCGAATGCCACTTAAGTGATCGCGTGGGAGTTCTTGACCATTGGAGATCGGGCGGCCGTGGTATGAATAGGGACACATGGACGTTGATCCATGACCGAATGCTGGGGTGCCGCGCGTCCGGTCACCCCGAGGATAGTGAGGTGTAGGGGGCCAACGACTCTATTTCATGAGAGCCTCTATTTAAGCCCATTGACCGGCTCTAGCTCACTCTCTTGGCCATTTGTATTGACATAGCAACCTTATGAGCTTAGCCAAAGCCCTCCCATTCATCTCCATCATTGATTCATCATGTTTGTGAGATTGGGAGAGAATCCAAGTGCATTGCTTGAGTGATTGCATCTAGAGGCACTTGGTGTTCGTGTTTCGCTGTGGGATTCGCTTATTACTTTTGGTGGTTGCCGCCACCTAGACGGCTTGGAGCAGCGAGGATCGTCGAGCGGAGGTTGGTGATTGTCTCT